TATATATATATGTATATATATATATATATATATAGATAGATAGATAGATAGATAGATAGATAGATATTCTGTATATATAGACACACACACACACACACACACACACACACATATTCAGAGCATGTGAACTGAGCATCAAACTTTGTTGGGGGAGGATTCACTCACCAGAATAACAGGTTGAGTTTTCAGCAGACAGCTGCGGACATTAGATTAGACTTTTCAGTGAACCATTAAAGAAAATGTTTCACACACTCGTTTTGTTCTGTTTGTGCTGGTTGAGCCTGATGGGTAAGTTATAAAAGATATATATATATATATATATATATATATATAGATAGATAGATAGATAGATAGATAGATAGATATTCTGTATATATAGACACACACACACACACACACATATTCAGAGCATGTGAACTGAGCATCAAACTATGTTGGGGGAGGATTCACTCACCAGAATAACAGGTTGAGTTTTCAGCAGACAGCTGCGGACATTAGATTAGACTTTTCAGTGAACCATTAAAGAAAATGTTTCACACACTCGTTTTGTTCTGTTTGTGCTGGTTGAGCCTGATGGGTAAGTTATAAAAGCATTTTATGGTGTAATTTTTTTTTTTTTTTTAGATTTCTACTGTTATATACCAGATGAATCAATTTAATGAGATTTACTCTGAATTCAGTTCTCTGTTTTAATTGTAATTTTAAAATTGATATTTGCAGGCCTTCTATTGTGACTGTAAATTTCTCTTGCTCAGAAAGCCAAAACCACCACTGAACCACTTAAAAATTTCGGGCGTCTTTTGTTACTTTAAATATCTTTATTTAAAAAATAGCAATTTTCTGTTTTTAGAATTGCTCCTGCGATAATCATAAATAACTATAAATGTCATGGAAATTCATTGGACAAAAGGTTTGAGAACCCTAAGTGAGATTCAGTGAGCCTGTTTTATCTACTGATCTCAGTGTCTCATTTATTTATTTAAATTATCAAGCAGAATTAAACTTTCAAGTTGTAATTATAGAGTATTTATTTATTTATAAATTACGTAACATCACACATTGATTTTACAAGGTAAGTAAAAAATAAAGAAATAAAGATAAAATTATTGGTTCATGCTTACCTGTCTCATCTTTCACTTTGTTGCTCTGGATGTTATTCAGTTCATATTTAACCGATTCAATCTTCAGTTGGTTTCAGGCTTTAGAAACCATTAGGAGCTTTAATTTTCTCATGTTAATGTTCTTCAGGTGTGTTTGGGGCTAAAACAAATGAAATAATGATAGTGATGGAGGGAGATTATGTCACTCTAAACACTGATGACATTGAAAAACACGAAGATGACATGCTGTGGACATTTGGAGCTAAAAAGTCTCAAATAGCTATAATTAAAATAAAGAAGCAAATCTCCTCCACATCTGATGGTCCTGACGGGAGATTCAGAGACAGACTGAAGCTGGACAATCAAACTGGATCTCTGACCATCACTAACATCACAACTCAACATACTGGACTCTATAAACTAGAGATTAGTGGAGAGAAACTGTCATCAAAAACATTCAGTGTTTCTGTCTATGGTGAGTAGAGATCTTTTGTCCAAACATGCACATATTCTTGTTTTATTAACTACTTACATATTAAATCCTTTTATATATTTAGATCACAGACACACTCACTCAAAACATTGAACTAAAAATAAGATTGATTAGATTTATCCACATCTCTCTTTATTCTCATGTTTTCAGCTCGTCTGCCTGTTCCTGTCATCAGCAGTAACTCTTCGCAATGCTCTTCATCATCATCATCATCACAGCAGAATTGTTCACTGGTGTGTTCAGTGGTGAATGTGAGTAATGTGACTCTCTCCTGGTACAAAGGAAACAGTTTATTGTCCAGCATCAGTGTGTCTGATCTCAGCATCAGTCTCTCTCTACCTCTGGAGGTGGAATATCAGGATAAAAACACCTACAGCTGTGTGCTCATCAATCCCATCAGCAACCAGACCAGACATAACATCAACATCACTCAACTCTGTCAACCATGTGCAGGTATAGCAGCGTTTTTGTGATCTGATCTCGGTCTTTTGTTATAGGTTAGACACATTCATTTCTGTCTTTTACCTTACGGCACTGGACCCAGACTCTCCTTCACTAGACTCACCTCTAAAAGTGTTGATCTGTGCTGCTGCTGGATCTCTGTTGATTGTGGCTACAGTCATGATCTTCTGGATCTACAGGAAATATACAGAAACTGATGGAGAAGGCAAGTATTACCTCCTGTTTTTACTGTGTTTGTTATAAAAATACTCTAAACGTTTTAATAAATTGATAGCCCTAGAAATCCTGTATGTTTAAAGATTCAGCCCTCTGCTGGTGTTCAAATGAACATTTTTATTAATTCAATTCAATTCGAGTTTATTTGTATAGCGCTTTTCACGATGCAAATCGTTGCAAAGCAGCTTCACATAAAAATACAGAAATTTACGTTTCTACATTATATTTAGTAATAGCTTACATTGAAAAACATTTTTCTAATTTTAATTAGTTCATACTCTGCTGAAAACTTTTTATGTATGTGTGAACCGTTATGTCAAATTATGGATGGATGGATGGATGGATGGATGGATGGATGGATGGATGGATGGATGGATGGATGGATGGAGAAACAGATCTATTTAAGATTGTGTTTTCTTGTTCTATTATTATTGTTCTTTAAATAGTTCAGACTTGTGAAGAAATAACGTATGCTGAGACAACATTCTTCAAAAGGAATTCACACAAACTGGTAAGATTTTAATCTCTGCATTTAGTCTTTGTATTAGTTTTTTGCAGCAAGTCAGATTTAGACGTGTGTGTTTTTGTCTGTATAAAGATCTATTACATGCATTAAACACAACAGCATCAGATATTTAAAACCGTAACAAACAAACATGATATACATTAAAACATAATCAAACAAAAGAAAACATGTCCTCACATTAATTCAAAAACTCTGTTGATTGTGGCTACAGTCATGATCTTCTGGATCTACAGGAAATATACAGAAACTGATGGAGAAGGCAAGTATTACCTCCTGTTTTTACTGTGTTTGTTATAAAAATACTCTAAACGTTTTAATAAATTGATAGCCCTAGAAATCCTGTATGTTTAAAGATTCAGCCCTCTGCTGGTGTTCAAATGAACATTTTTATTAATTCAATTCAATTCGAGTTTATTTGTATAGCGCTTTTCACGATGCAAATCGTTGCAAAGCAGCTTCACATAAAAATACAGAAATTTACGTTTCTACATTATATTTAGTAATAGCTTACATTGAAAAACATTTTTAATTAGTTAATTAGTTCATACTCTGCTGAAAACTTTTTATGTATGTGTGAACCGTTATGTCAAATTCATGATGGATGGATGGATGGATGGATGGATGGATGGATGGATGGATGGATGGATGGATGGATGGATGGATGGATGGATGGATGGAGAAACAGATCTATTTAAGATTGTGTTTTCTTGTTCTATTATTATTGTTCTTTAAATAGTTCAGACTTGTGAAGAAATAACGTATGCTGAGACAACATTCTTCAAAAGGAATTCACACAAACTGGTAAGATTTTATTCTCTGCATTTAGTCTTTGTATTTTTTTTTGCAGCAAGTCAGATTTAGACGTGTGTGTTTTTGTCTGTATAAAGATCTATTACATGCATTAAACACAACAGCATCAGATATTTAAAACCGTAACAAACAAACATGATATACATTAAAACATAATCAAACAAAATAAAACATGTCCTCACATTAATTCAAAAAAGACTAGAACAAGACTTAGTTTGTGTTGTCAGTTGCTAGCCCTGTTGCATATTAGCATAAGATACTCTTTAGCACAATAACAACAATATATAAATAAACAAAACCACAACTAAAGCCTTATTTTTCTGCTTTATATCACCATGGCAGTATTTACACTGTCCATCATTTTTCACAGACATCTGTGCAGTTCATGGTACACAAAAATGGTGCAAAAATTTTCCTTTTTGAGTAACAACTTGTCACTTGGGTAGTACCCTCAAAGGGACATCTTTGTACCTTATTTACCCCAAAAGGACCAAGAGCACACATTACTAGCTTAAGGGTCCATATTACTACTCTAAGGTATTGTAAACACCCTAAAAGTGTATTACTTCATTTCAATATTTGATATTAAAGGGGTGGTTGATTATGATTAAACTTTTTTAACTTTAGTTGTGTAATGTTGCTGTTAGAGCATAAACAACATCTGCAAATACAAAAATGGTGCAAAAATTTTCCTTTTTGAGTAACAACTTGTCACTTGGGTAGTACCCTCAAAGGGACATCTTTGTACCTTATTTACCCCAAAAGGACCAAGAGCACACATCTACTAGCTTAAGGGTCCATATTACTACTCTAAGGTATTGTAAACACCCTAAAAGTGTATTACTTCATTTCAATATTTGATATTAAAGGGGTGGTTGATTATGATTAAACTTTTTTAACTTTAGTTGTGTAATGTTGCTGTTAGAGCATAAACAACATCTGCAAAGTTATGATGTTCAAAGCTCAATGCAAAGGGAGATATTTTCTTTTAAAGAAATTGCTGTTTAAGGACTACAAAAAAAGGCTGGTAGGGACTACAATGAGCTTCTTCCCCGGTTGGTGACATCACAAACCCCGAAATTTACATAAACCCTGCCCCCGAGAACATGCAACTACCCGTAATGGTCAGGGGCCGTGACATTTCCGGACAACGTGCACTAGGCGGTTAGCGAATCACGACACAGCCCAGCTAACCAGTCTGAGCACATTGCGTTTTTCTGAGGGAGGGGCTCCGTAGAGCCAGGAACTCAACAGACCGTTTTGACAAGAACGGAAACAGCGGTGTAGAATAAAGGTAAAATATGTGAAAATAATGTTCTTTTTTTTTTTTTTAAATGAAGAATGAACACGTTACGCTGCACCCCATAAACACAATCAAGCCTTTGAAAAAAGCTGATCAACCACCCCTTTAAAGAAAATGTTTACTTTTGAAAGATTAACCATTTTGCTACTACCTTGGGTCACTAATTGATGGCCAACATAAAATTTGGGCCCTAAAGCAAAATCACTGAGAACTAAAGCTTGATCTGCTTCATGTTAGCTTAGCAGTGGATCACTGTATCCACTGTTATTAGAAAAAAAAAGAAAGATCAATCTTCAGGATGCCACATTTTAAATAATTTTATCAGTATTATATATTGTGCAATATGTTTTTGTACAGAAAGTAAAAGAGAAGAGTCATGTGATGTATGCAACTGTCAACATGAGAAGATGATCAAACTTCAGTCTTTTAAGTCCCAAATACTCCTGGAAACTCCTGAGACACTCTCAGATTCAGAGTCTATGGATGAGTTTTCAGATTGGTAAGAATCACCACCATGCTGCTAGCATTATACTAACATGATTGCTAACATGTTTTTAACAAGATGCTAACAGGATTAGCACATTGCTAGCATGGTTCTAATACATTTAACGTGTTCCTAGCATGATGTTAACACAATTGACATGATGTTAGCCAGATGCAAACACAATTAGCATTTTGCCAATGTCATACTAACATGATCAGCACGTTACTAGCATGTTTTTAGCAAGATGCTAACATGATTACCGTGTTGCTAGCATGATGTTAACAAAAAATCCCATGTTGTTGTCAAGTTTTGAACTAGATGCTAATATGTTTAATATTATGTTAACAAAACATGTTAAAATTATGCTAACATGTTTTAATGCTGCACTAGATGTTGCTAGCATGTTCTTAGCATGTTTTAGCACATATCTAGGTAATGCTAATGATTTAATGATCAGGATCATTCTGGGGGTTTGAAGTTACAGATGGATTAATGAAATGGTCTCCTAAAAACCTCAAAAGAATGTGTCGTGTAATACAATATTCAAATAAATTATCTAATTTGTTTGACCCAGTGAAGTATTGTTATGTTTGACGGGGGATATTAGTTAACCCAAAAATATCAATGCTGAGCCTAAAAGCATTTATTCACACGCATGTCTTTCCAAACGTACAAGACTTTTGCACAATTAAGTGATCTTCGGATCACAAATTAGGATATTTTTAATATTATCATATTTGTATTTTTAAAGATTCTCATATTTTTAATATTCTCGTTTTTTCCATTGAAAGTCTGTCTTCAAGCTTTAAAAAAAAACGTATTTGATGTGCGAGAACAAACTTCACTGGTTCTTGTGCATCAAGCATGCCGATTTGAGCTTGCATTTACCATATTTTATGAGCTCTATGTATGTGCACTGATCAGTGTTTGTATATGAATGAAGTTTAAATGAAATCTGTTCATCATATAAAGACTTAGATTAAACCGCCTCGAATCACATGGATTACTTTTATGACTTCATACACTTTTTGAAGCTTGAAAATGTTCATTAAATGGACGAAAATAAAGATGAACAAAAGTCTTATGGGTTTGGAATGACACGAGGGTGAGTAAATGACACAATGTCCATTTTGGGGTCTAAAAATGAATTGAGGACATGGGTATCTGCAAACCATAAATGTAAAATGTTCATCAAAACAAGTCTAGGTGAACTTCATACTGTGAAATGCGGTTTGGTAGACAAACATCTTCTGCATGAGAAAGTGTTTGCTGCTGTATGTATGTGTTTGATGTGTTCATGAGTTTGTGTCTGAGGTGTCAATAGCTCATAGCATGTGGTTAAAGGGAGTTTTTCCATTTCTGCCCATATGATTTGAAGAGTTTGACACAGTTTTCTTCTGTACACAAAAAAGATTCTCTCCAATCAAACAAACATCATGCACTTGTGTCTGTGAAACATAAACTTGATGCTCAAGGGTATGTGCATCTCATTACAAATCCATGATCTTATGAACTCATCATGCTGTGACCCTGCAGACGAGCTCTGCTAGTTCTTTAGCAAGAGAAACAGAAGTTATTTCTAACAAAAACTACTCTTGATCTCACAGATGTTTTAACGATCATATCCCGTTTTTGTCTGTCAATGTCTGGGATTCGTTTTAAGAATAAATGCAATATGTGATTTACTATTGTTGTGATATTTTTACTACCATGCAGATGTTTAGCAGTTAGTTTAGTTTTCATCAGTTTGGGGAAGTAATAACATAAATGAGCAGCGCTGCAAGAAAACTAAATGCATTTTTAAATTTCATGAATGCAATGAATATTTATTAGTACTTTACATTATTGCCTGCCCCATGCAAACAAGTGATTCCTGAATTTAGCATTCAATATTAAATCAATAAAAAAAAGGTAAATAAAAAATAAATAAATCAGCTAGTCTTGACTTGCAATGCTATCCTTGATTAGCATCCAGAACTATAAGAACAGTACGGAATCATCCGTGTTTTTATTTTTATGAGGTTATTAATGTTCACTACCAGTTGTTTACCCTTGTATTTCTCTGTAAAGACTGCATCAAACATTTGTTTTAAATTGCTTAATATTTCATTTATACATGCTTATACCACTGGAATGTCCTCTAGTGTCAAAACCAGGAATTGACAGTTTCAAAAACTAAAAAATTTAAAGGTGAAAGTTTTAATCCAGCAGAGTTGAAATCACATTCCAGAATATACACACACAATGATCACTTTAACCCTTTAACTGTCACCCGTCCCCTCTGTGGGATGCCTAAATTTACTTCACTATATTACAATTCAATCCTAATCTAATCATGACAAATTATATATCGTTGGAAAGGTCTAAGACTCCTAAATAGATATTTTACCAATGTTTTTTTTTTTAAAAACGATGTAGGAAAAGTAATAGATTAATTTTTGACAAGAGTGCACCTAAAAAAAAATACATCATTAGATTGGAAAGAAAAACATTTCATTGGAAAGAAAAAAAAACAGATTCCACTTCTTATGAGTCAATCAGATGTTTTAATGCCATTTATTGCAGAAAAACACACAAAAAAACATATAAAATGTACAAAAACATAAAAAAAAAATAAAAAAAAATACAAATATATAGATTAATTTTTGACAAGAGTGCACCTAAAAAAAAATACATCATTAGATTGGAAAGAAAAACATTTCATTGGAAAGAAAAAAAAACAGATTCCACTTCTTATGAGTCAATCAGATGTTTTAATGCCATTTATTGCAGAAAAACACAAAAAAAAAACATATAAAATGTACAAAAACATACAACAAATATAAAAAAAATACAAATATATAAAATCAGAAGGCTTCATGGGAGGACTGTACAAAAATAATAAAATAAAATAAAACAAAATGAAAACTTGGCAGTGAGCTGAACTGATCAGCAGCACTTCATAATATCTCACAAATGTTTTGTTCACGAAGACAATGTTATGGTTTCACGGTGATTCATTTTTATTGATTGTTTTTCATATAAGGAGTTCTATTTCTAGCAAATGTAAAAGCCCTTTCACACCAAAAAGTGTAATGAATAAACCTCAGGCTGAAGCAAAAGTAAATTCACGTCTGTACAGTAGAACGCAGGAGAAGAAACAGCAATAAAAAAAACAATGAAGCACAATTGTTAGTTTATCTAAAGTCATTTTTGCTTATTAGTACGGTTGAACTGGATCATCAAAGGTCAGCAGCAAAGACATCAGTTAATAAAATGGGATTAGATACATTTGTGTTATTTAACATTTAATTATTGCAGGTTTGCGTCATATTCTGAGTTTGCATTTCACTGTTTTAATTAATTTTGATGAATACTAAATCTGTTTTTTGTGAGTGGGATGAATTAATGCACGTTCACATTTAGTCTAGAACTACAGTAGCATCATGTTCACACAGCGCACACAACACCTCTGTACTCCCGATTTCTCCCAATATGGGGACAGGAGACTTATCAGTCAATAAATGGGAAAAAGTAACTCAAGATATTCTCTTGTAAGTTAAAAAGTAATGCGTTACTTTACTAGTTACTTGAAAAAAGTAATCTGATTACGTAACTCGCATTACCCCCAACACTGATTACAACCAATGGCACAAATTGTACAATACAAAATGAAACCAGTGTTTTAGGTTCTTCAGTCAGGCCTAACAACGGCTTTCTATCTGTCTTTTGTTGTTTGAATTGCATTAATGACACAGCTGTCACTAAGACTGAATGGATCTATAATAATGATACAGGTGATTTCTTCCTTAGCGGTTTACTTTCCTTTAAGACATAACAGAGGATAATGAAAAAAAGTGAAACTGATTAGACTGTGGTGGGCCATAACACCATAACAGAACGCTTCAACAGGACTGAATGAGACGAGTGTTGCCCAGACCAGTGGCGTAGCGCAAAATCAGTTTTAAACCATGAAGGCTGAGAAACGTGCAAACTTTGTGCAAGAGTTATACCGGTGAACGTCTTGACCTCAGTCAATTATACAAAGTGAAAGTATTAACGCTGCATTAACGGCGCATATTCTCTCAGAGACGAATCTACTTCAACATATGCTGATAACAGCATATAACTAATTATTCCCTAAATTATTTCCCTTGTGGCCCATACATAGTGGAAAAAAAAAGAGAAATGTATTTTGCGTTAAACAGGTTGTTTTTGAAAGTCGGTGCTTGTAATATAGTTGCTCTTAATTTTCATTGATGACTGCAGTGTTAATCATTTTAATTATAGGCCTATAATTCACTGTATAAATTAATAGCTGTATAAACCTTTTCAATGAGGAGTAAGCTAATAGCCTAAACTTTTATTATCCTCACAGCGCGTCAATTATGCGGTGATGCGCTATGAAATTATTGTGGGGCAAATTAATTGTAATTTAATAATAAAAGTAACCTAATAATAATAATAATAGGCCTAATAATAAGAAGAATGTAACAGGCCTACATTAACTGGAAATGCCAAATCCTCTTAATATTGCCAATATTTGATGCTTTTGACAATATCTCTGCCTATATAGTAGACACCTGATACAACGCAACCCAACACGGGGAGGGTATCCTTCTACATACAGAAAAAGTATGTAGAACTCGCCTTTAAATTTTCTTTTTTGAATTCAAGTTAATAGAACTTTATATATTCAGGCCACATGCTTTAATTAATTATTTAAATGAGTAATATCGAATTAGTTCTTGCGGTGGTGTTGAAATTGGAGTTGAGGTAAAATTTCACTTGGAACTGGTAGTGACTCCTAAAATCTTGGTGTGGTGACACTATTTCTCTGAGCAGCGAGAGATTGTCTTACGATGAAGAGAGGATTGGAAATGATAAAATCTCTCTCGTTACCATCTTCTCTTCACTTTCCATTTTAGTGAAAGTATCAAAATAATGTTAGATCTCACTGGCAGCCTCAGACTCAATCCGATTAGGGGGCGAGTCATTGGTAGTGTTCGTCCCTAGAGCATCAGTGTGATTAGAGGACCTCTCATTAGCATCATCCATCAGTGGAATCTCACTCTGATTAGGCGACAAGTCAACAACATCATTCACCTGTAAGAAAACAGATTCACAGAAGGTAAAAGAAATGAACAGGACTAATGACACACAAAAAATACTAGACTAGGAACTGTAATTGTGCATTTCTTTTGATGTTTGCAGAACATATGGTGGTTTTCTTTTCCTAAATATTAAACACAGTCATAAATGTTGGATGTTTCTCTTAATGAATCTGAGTAATTACACTGTCATCTGTGCTACAGTATAGCATACAGTATATACAGTACAGCTACACAATTGTGGCCTAAAATATCGGCACCCATGTACTTTTGTTTTTTTTAAGTAATAACAATAAGTTTGTATAAGGTTGCAAAGAGGCTGAGAATTCCTGGTAAATTTTAGAAACATTCCAGAAATTCTGGAAATTTCCAGCATTTTTTGTAAACTTTCACAAAACATTCTGAATTGTTTGGAAATTTTCTGGAAATTTTCCAAAAATTACTTGGTAAATTAAAAAAAAACTGTTGAACTATTTTTAAATTGCTCAGGGGAACTACACAAAATGATACTTGCCAATGACAGAAACACTGAAGCTCCTTATGATGCTGATTCTGCTGCTGGTGATCTGTAGTTTATAAAGTCCAGAGTGTGTGGTGTTGATGTTCATGATGGTCAGAGATCCAGTCTGATGACCCAGCTGCAGTCTGTCTCTGAATCTCTCAGTGCCTTCATCACACTGATCATCTGTACAGATCTTACTGGGATCTCCAGTGATTTCAGCGATGCAAATGTCATTAAAATACCACATCATCAAATCCTCTGGGTTTTTCATTACACCAGGATCTAAAGTGACAGATTCTCCCTCCTTCACTGACTTTCTCTGCATTTGATCGCGTTCATTAGCAGGAACATCTGGAACACAAACCAGCAAGCTGACTGGAAGGAAAAAAATGAAAGAACTGTGGATATGAAAATGACTGAATCATGCTTTCAACAAAACAAAAAAAAACATGCATCTGTTTTATACACATTTTATAAACTTATTTGACATGAAATCCTCATTATGATAATTTTAACGGTTAGTTTTATTTTCCATCTATGATCACATTCTCCTATCATCGCTTCGAAAGGATGATTTAGTTTGAAATCAAACTGAACCGTTTAAAGATGTCATTTAACTATTACACTTAACAGTAATTGTTTTTAAAGAGATTAACTATATACTGCATCAAATACAAATTTAAAAAAAACATGAATGTCAATGCAAAAAAATAAAAACACATTAATTAAATATTTATAACCTGCTTTTAAATGCGTTCATTAAATGACTTACCATGAACAGTAACATTAAAGGTCTTTTCACTGCTTTTTCTGATGCTGATGATCTTTAATTCATAGAGTCCAGCATCTGTGGTTGTGGTGTTTGTGATGGTCAGAGATCCAGTCTGATGATCCAGCTTCAGTCTGTCTCTGAATCTCTCAGTACCTTCATTACACTGAACATCTGTGCAGATCTTACCGAGATCTCCAGTGATTAGAGCAATGCGATTGTCATCAAAATACCATATTATATATTCCTGTTGGTTTGATTCAAAACCAGTGTTTAGAGTGATTGAATCTCCCTCCATCACTGACACTGATAATACATCGGTTTCAACAGCTGACACACCTGATGAACAGAGAATTAAGCCATGATAAAATGTAAAAACTACAACAGAAAATGCGCGTTTTACAGATCATATAGATTGTGAGTACAGAAATATGTCTGTATTCTAGGGTTGTCAAAAGTAACAACTTTTATAGGTTTCTCTTTGTGAGGTTTGGTTAGCAGTGACTGAAACACAACTTTATACACAACTGCCAGTCTGTATGGAGAGGATCTTGAGACTCCAGTAGCTTCAACCACCTGTTTGCTGCTCAGCAGTGGCTTTTTTACAGCTGGCATTACTATATAGTTCATTCGTTTGACACAAACTTTCCTTAAATCTTTATCTGACCAAGATCTTCTGTGCTCTAAGTCACTCACAAATCTTTTGACAGTTCAATAATTTCTATTTGCTTTTTGCAAAATGTTGTTTGTTTTGACGCCTTTTGCAAGACATTGTATTGTTTCATACTTTTCATCTTCAGAAAGATTGTTCTTCCTCACCATATTGCATGAGAACTGTGACTTGCTTAATAATGTGGAACAACCTCTTTAAGTAAGGTTTCCATTTACCTAAGAAGACCTGGCACTAGGGTTGTCAAAAGTAACAACTTTTATAGGTTTCTCTTTGTGAGGTTTGGTTAGCAGTGACTGAAACACAACTTTATACACAACTGCCAGTCTGTATGGAGAGGATCTTGAGACTCCAGTAGCTTCAACCACCTGTTTGCTGCTCAGCAGTGGCTTTTTTACAGCTGGCATTACTATATAGTTCATTCGTTTGACACAAACTTTCCTTAAATCTTTATCTGACCAAGATCTTCTGTGCTCTAAGTCACTCACAAATCTTTTGACAGTTCAATAATTTCTATTTGCTTTTTGCAAAATGTTGTTTGTTTTGACGCCTTTTGCAAGACATTGTATTGTTTCATACTTTTCATCTTCAGAAAGATTGTTCTTCCTCACCATATTGCATGAGAACTGTGACTTGCTTAATAATGTGGAACAACCTCTTTAAGTAAGGTTTCCATTTACCTAAGAAGACCTGGCAAACTATTGAACAAACCTGTCTGAGATTGATACCAGTTACCTGAAATGATTTTATTTGTTTATTGTACCGAAATCCTATTGATATGTCACTTGCATAATAATTTGGAACGCAGTGTAATGTCGGAAAGAATAAAATGTAGCATCACATTGGTTGACTATCATAAACATTCACCGCGCTACACATGCAGTTTGCTAACAATTCTGGAATTTCGGTCAAATACATGCTTATTTCACTGCTTATAAAACATACAATATGCTTCGAATGATCGTTCATATCTAGCCTATAAATACACTACTTTAGCAACGAGACAAAGGGATGTAGCTGTTGTGAGAACAGCATTGACAGCAGCAATGGTTCTCCCCTCCACCACGTTTAAAGATAATGAGCCGCCCAACTCGTAAACTCTGGTATCAAAATTTCCCAGTAGTAAATAGACTTGTGCCGGTATTCGGTAATGTGATATATCACGGTAATGAATATGCACGGTATTGTTATCGTGGGCACTTCTAAATACCGTGAATAATTATATATAACAAATTATTCCGAATTTTTAATGCATTTTAAGAATACTTTTCCCATCAACTGGTCAAAATGCACAACACCGCTGTATGCTGCGTGAAAGACGCATGCGCACTCTGATGTAAACATATTGTTCGCTCACACTTTACATTAGGGCTTCATTAGTTAACATAAACTGCCAATGAAAAATTCTTCTGAACATTAATTAATCTTAGGTATTCCAATATTTAACAACAGGTTGTTAAAATCGAAAGTTGCAATTGTGTTATTTAATGAGCTAACATGAACTAAGACTTGTATTTTTTAAACAAAGATTAATAACTTCTGTAGCAAATGTAGCTATTGCTCATTGTGAATATTAATGCATTAACTAAGGTTAACTAATGAGATCTTATTGTAAAGTGATACCTATTGGTCTTTATAGTTCTTTTGCACTTTAATCTGTGAAAAACTTAACTTTATAAAGTTTTCTGTATTGCTTTATTGCATTTAAATGTTCAGTTATTTTTGTTATAAGAAAAAAGTTATTAAACCTGTTATACTGTATTATGACGGCACTTTTTTTAAACTAAATTTCAATATCGTGATAATACCGCATACCGTGATAAAAGCATTAGCAATTAACCGCAACGTCCCTAGTAGTAAATATGACTTGAGAGGCGTTCATGTCTAATTTCCGATTAGGAAACTCGTATTTTCTATAATTCCGATAGCACATGAAGGCAGCATTAATCATTGTAGCCAATCACAGACATGCGTTAACTATTGAGCGTGTAAACACAATGGCCAATCAGAGCTGTTTAAGAATCCAAAATACTAACGTTAGTGGAAAATGCTACTACTGGTACCGAAGTCGGTACTTTTGACAACCGTACTGTAATGTAACATGCAAACAGAGCAGAACATGATTCACACATTCACTCATCAGACGAGTCACATGGATGATCTAACAACAACACGCATCCTGATTCATATATTAGCTGCTTTCTCTGAACATTTATTTCAGCACTCATACAACAAATTGTTTTCATGGATGTGGAATAATATTCCCCATAATGAATATCATATATGAATAGTATTCATTAAAAACACTGCAGAAAATGGTGCTATTTATAAAAAAGTACTACTTTTTGTTTGATGTTCTTTTTACTTTTACATAATTAATTTGGCAGAAGCTCTTATTCAAAGCGACTCAATTCAACACTGATCAGTTTATATACCTTTTTTAAGATTTCAACATTCACTGTATGATCTTGGATCAGTGAACTCATGGGAGATGTTGCTTTGAATAAAAGCTTCAGCCAACTAATTTTGTACCGTTCATCATTCATTATAATGGTTGACTAGAAAAGAGACTGTCTTACCATGTGCGAACAAGAACACAGACGTCAAAATAAATCGAAGCTTCATAAAAAAATATGGCAGCAGATTCTGATTCATTTTCCCTTCTTCTTCTTCTTCTTCTAATAACGTTTTATGGTGGATGGCAAACCAACTTCTGCTGATTCATTTTCCCTTGCTTTTTCTTATTTAATTTATTTTAGCTCTGACTGTATAATAACATCACGCGGCATGGTTCTTCTTCTTCTTCTTCTTCTTTTGTTTAATGGCGGTTGGCAAACCAGCTTAAGGTGCATTTCCGCCACCTACTGGGATGGAGTGTGAGCCATTGATATCAGAAAAAAAAGAAAGAAAAAAAACACCTACCCTACCTTTCTATATTTTCTTATATAACTTTGTTGCTTTAAAAAAAACAAAAAAACAAGAGCTTCATATCCTTTGTAAGAACTGTTAAGTAGCCTATATTCTGCAAAATTATAGAATTTATGCCAACAGAAATTATTATTTTTTTTAATTGAATTCTTTCCTTTTCATATGCCATACAATTGATTATTACATGCTCTACACTTTCTGGAAGTCCACATTTATTGCACTGACCAGAACCATGTTTCCCTATCATTTGAATTGATTTGTTGAGGGCAGAATGACCAATTCTCAGACGAGAAATTACCAGATCTTCCGTTCTGTTGCCATAACTAATTCTAACTAAACCAACTTGTTTAAAGTTGAAATATGCACTCTCAAGATGCTGTTGCACTACTATCGCTTTATGTTCATGATAGTTCAGCTATTACAGGTTCAGTTCCTGAGATTCAGAGTTTGATCAAGGACACAATGGTGAAATTACATGGATCAACCCTCACAGGATTTGAACCTTAACCATAAATCTACAACACCAACAACAAACAAAGTTCTTCATAGACTTTAACACAAATAAACTGATTCCTGCTGAAAACACCAGCTTTGAGTAACATGAATTTTATAGTGTTTTCATCAGGCATGTTCCTCACTAGTGTTGTCAAGTGACAATAATAAAACTTTAAAGACTGTAAGGTCTAGTCCACATGTAAACGGGTATTTATATAAACAGTTTTTCCTCTGTTTAAAAAACAATCTTGTCCACATGAAAATGCAAAAACATGCTATAAAGTGCTGTCATGCCAAACCAACAGGTGGTGATATAACCCTAACCGTAAAGCCATGTTAGCCAATCAGGAGCCTGAAAAAAAGGTTATTATCGGTTGTTACTGGCGCACACTCCGCCGTCACAAGCCAAAATCTGACATTTCAGTACTGGTGCCTAATACTGAAATCATGGTATTGTGACAATGTTTCTCTCTGGGTGTTGTGAGTTTCAGTTTATGCTCTTCTCTCATTTCCAATCTTCTCTTCATGTTCTCCTTCAATGAAATTATCAAAATAATAATGTTACTGTAACATCTCACTAACAGCATGAGTCTCAGACTGATTAGAGGACAAGTCTTCTGCACGATTCTAAAACACAAAATCACAGAAGGCAGAATAAATCAACAGGATTAATGATTCAGTTACACAAACAGAACAAGACTAAAGACTTCATATTCTGTTTTTTATCCTGATATTTAAGATTAAGGGTTAACATGTCTTAAATGTGGGATGCTTCTCTTAAAACGGTAATGACATGAAGAAACAAACTTTCTTCGATCTCTTGACATCTACTATAATACGCACTTTTGTTGAAACCAAGCAGCTCAAACAACTTGTTTTCCACAACTGCAAATTGTGACATCAATATGTTGCATCGGACCACCTCCATGACAACACTTCAACGCAGTTTTTTTGTAATTTTTTAACTAATTTTCAGAAAGATTAAGATGTCAGGGAAGAAGGCCAAACGTATCGCACACAGTATCTTACCTGATCACTGGACTGCATATCCATATCTGTTTGAAAAATAATGACAAACTCAATTAAACACAGTGGTTTGTTTAATTTCACATCTTTTAAAGATTATTTTCACACAACAAGATATTTCCATCTTGTTACTGCAGCTGTATGTAATACACACCTGTCCTTCTTCTTTGGCGCTTGCGATAGTAAATCACAGCAGCAGTTGAAGCAACAAGCAGCAGAACAACAACAGCAGCAACAGCATATATTCCTGTTACAGCAGCTGAAGACAGACAGAGAGTTTATTTTTTACTTAGAGTGTAAATAAAATATTTTTAAAAAATCTAATTTTCATTCAAAACTGTTTATAGAAAAATGACTAAATGATACTCACCAGTGACAGAAACAATGAAGCTCTTTATGATGCTGAATCTGATGTTGGTGATTGTTAGTTTATAGAGTCCAGAGTCTGATGTCCTCATGTTTGTGATGGTCAGAGATCCAGTTTGATCCAGCTTCAGTCTCTCTCTGAATCTCTCATCACACTGATCATCTGTACAGATCTTACTCTGATCTCCAGTGATTTCAGCTATGAGAATATCATTAAAATGCCATGTCATCAAATCATTTGGGTATTTTATTACCCCAGGATCTAAAGTGACAGATTCTCCCTGCTTTTTTCTTCTCATTTCATCTCGTCTTGCAGCAGGAAGATCTGAAACACAAACCATCAAATGACTGAAGGTCTTTTTGGGGAAAATAAGAAACTACAAAACCTCAAGAAATGTGGATATGAAAGTAATTCCTTGTGCTTATAAAACAATTTGCATACTTCAAATCCTCTGCAGTTTAGTTTCTTGGTGAAAAAAAATCACTGAGTATGAAATAACATGCATTTACACAAATGATAAGACGTGATCAGAGATTACTTGATGAGAAACTGTCACCTTCACCAGAACAAAACTCAAGAGGCACACTAGCGAATGATGCTAGAGACTGCAATCTTTAGCATGCAAATCTTGTTAGCATGCCCGCCTCCCATGCTGGAAATGCCGGTTCAAATCACACTCAGAGCAGTGCAAGTAGAACCGAAGGGGTTACATTGGTGCCGTGACCCGGATGGGAGTGAGCTTTATAGGGATTGTGTAATGGAGGCCAGCTTGTAAAGAGTTGTGCAGGTAAACCTTACTCCCTGGCCTCAAAAGGAGCGTTAGAGGCTGTGGTCTTTAGTGTCCTTGTTAGTGTTCCTGACTGCCATGCTGGAGACGCCAGTTTGAATACCGCTTGGAGCGGCACAGATCCAGAGGGGCTACATCACTACATCTCTTATATATATGGCTGAATTAATTTACAGGTAAAGAGAAAAAACACATTTGAATGTCACCAGGGGCCGGCGCTAGGGAGAATGTTGAATGCTGAAGCCCCGAATGTTTTTACTATGCCCTGTATGAATCATCACTGAGTTTTCATGCGCATTAAAATAATTAATATTAGTACTGCAGATTTGCACATCCAACAGTGTCTACCTACATTGTCATTCACTCAATCACTCCTGACAAAAACCGACCACCGAGCCTCGTACTGACATGTAACTGGCCAACCAGCAATAAAAAGTTACAGCAGCTGCTTCAGGTGTCTGTAACTAGTGTATAACTAATACCGATTTTGTAATTTTTTTAATTAGGTTATTTGTTACTGAGCATTGTCAATGTGAAACAACAAATATAGATATTAAATCATATAATGTTGTCGTGTCTTCCTACGACACACGCATTTAGAGCGATCATATGAACTGTTTGGCCACCATGGTCTGTGGCAGACTTTCTTCGCGTCAGGGCAACAATTCAATGAACAAGAAATAAATAGTAAGTGATTTAAATTATAGAGACAGTATTGACTTTTTTTGCTCTATTTCTCTAAAGAAAATGGTTCCACACAAAACCATGTTGAGCGTCTCTGCAGCAACACACAGAGGGGTTTCCTTACAGAATGAATTTGCGTTTTTGAACAAACCGGGTTGATTCACTGATCCCTTCATAAAACATTGTATTACTTCTTTCCTTATTACTTCGTTTTGAAAGAATCAATTGAAAAAAATTACTCAGTGACCCACTTAAAGGGGTCATATGATGTTGCTAAAAAGAACATTATTTTGTGTATTTGGTGTAATGCAATGTGTTTATGCGGTTTAAGGTTAAAAAAACACATTATTTTCCACATACTGTACATTATTGTTTCTCCTCTATGTCCCGCCTTTTTGAAACGCTTACATTTTTACAAAGCTCATCGGTCTGAAAAGCGAGGTGTGCTCTGATTGGCCAGCTCTCCAGTGCGATGTGATTGGCCGAATACCTCAAGCGTGTGACGGAAATGTTACGCCCCTTACTATACTGTGATGCCGTGTCCCGGAGTGACGCGACAAAAACATTAAAACAGGCATTTGTTGCATCCAGTGGGGACATAATTACGGATTATAATGACTTAAACTGTCTTTTTACGCATTGCGTCATATGATGCGATTTCAAGTTTTCCTTTCTCTTTGGAGTGTTACAAGCTGATTGTGCATAGATAAGATCCCTGAAGTTGCAAAGACTAAAGTCTCAAAACCAAAGAGATATTCTTTATCAAAGTTAAGACTCTAGGAGACGAGGTAATTCTGACTTTGCTATGACAATCTGGCACTTCTGAATCAGCTACTGTTTTGTTATTAGTTGAAGTATTTGCTATTGACTGTTCAAATGCGGAGTTTTGCGCATCATGTGTGTGTGTGTGTGCTCGAGCGAGCAAGAGAGAGAGAGAGAGAGAGAGAGGGAGAGAGAGAGAGCGCAAGAGAGCGAGAGAGAGAGAGAGGGGGTCACATCACAGTGTCTTAACCGTGGCTTGTGTACTGCACACATACCAGCTTCATCACTGTGTCTGTCACGTGACTCTGTTCTCCTTTCGGGCTCTGTCTTTACATTTATTTTGAAAGC